CTTTACCCAAAATAATTACACGGAAACTGTATTCTTTTAAACACTGCCTGACCCATTAGTTTCAGTTTCTTATTGGCTAGCTTTTACATATTGATCTAACCCATTTCTATTAATCTATGTAGCCCACGAGCTGGCTTACCAGGAATGATCTTAACCTGCTTCTGTCTGGAGTGGGAGAATCATGGCGACTCCTTCAATCAGCTTCTTTCTCCCAGCATTCCGTTCTGTTTACTCCGCCTACCTAAGGGTTGGCCTATCAAATGGGTCTAGGCAGTTTCTTTATTAATAAGAAATCACTCCCACATCAATGGTGGGATTCTGGTATTTGTTCTTGGCTAGTTTCCCACTATATTTGGATTCATACCTTTCATACCATTTACACAATGGCTTAAAATTTTAATATTTGCCCGTTCTTTTAATTCCTGGGTGTTTTGTTTTGTTTTTCAAGGCAGGGTTTCTCTGTGTTGTCCTGACTGTGCTGAAACTTGCTGTAAACCATGCTGGCCTCAATCTCAGAGATCTGCCTGCTTCTGCCTCCTGAGTGCTGGGATTAAAGGTGTGCGCCACCAGTGGCCAGCTACAGTTCTCTCTTTTTATATAGCCCACTGCCCGTCTAGAACATTTGTCTTCCATAAGGTCCAGTTGGTACATTAAATTCAAATGATTTTTGCATTTACTAATTTGTATTAGTAATGGTATTAGTATTAATACTACTTGTATTACAAGTATGACAACTATTTGCTCAAACCTGAAATCAGAAATCCAAGACTTAGCACTCCTCCTACAGGTTAGTTATAGAAGTTCATTGGCTAGCTCCTTGGTAATATAGTCCAGTATACCATCCAATAGAAATTTAACGTAGGTTGGGGCTGGAAGAATACTCAGTGGTTAAGAGCACTTTACTGCTTTTTCAGAGGATTCTGTTTACTTTCCACACTGGGTAGTTTACAACCACCTGTAACTTCTAACTTCAGGGGATTTGAAGCCCTCTTTTGGTGTTCGTGGGCATGCATGAGCATGTGACATGTGCACACAGACACACATAGGAATGATAAGAAAAATGAATGTTAGTTCAGCAATACATCAGTTATATTTGTAACCCTATCACGAGCCTAAAATGTGCAGCAGAACATCAGAAATGAGAGAGAACCCACGTCAACATTTTGGAAATCAAGAACTGACTCCTAAAATTGACTAACATGAGAGACATGAAATCCACATGTTTGTCCTCAAATGCACACAATAAATTTACAGTATTTTAAAAAATTGCCCATCATAGTAAAAACTGTAGTTGAGGTATGCAGAATAGCATACAAACCCGTAAAATACTTAAGGGAGGGAAGGAGATATGCCTATATAATCCTGTAATATTTTAGTGTTTGTGTTGTTTACGTTTAATATAGATATTTGTAAATCATTTATATAAAAATATTTACACCATTTAAATGGTGGATGAACATTTTTTACTTGGCTATATGACCTCAGGAATTTGACTTAAGCAAGTGCCTGAAAGTTGTAGTTAGGTGTATTACATAATACTAGGGGCATTAAGTAGTAGACAAATAAATTTTTGTGGTAGTATCTTTTTATAATCTGTGATTGGTTTTCATAATTTAATTAAAAAGTTAATTATTTTTTCAGTGGAGGTTTCACTGTGTTGCCTGGGCCTTGAGCCCAAGTGCTGATTGTGCTGCTGCACTTTCCTTAGGGGCTAGGACTGCAGGTTTGCCTGCCCCTTTTTTCATATTTAGAATTAATTTAAACTTTTGGAGGTAAATTTAATTAGTTTATCATTGTGTAAAACAATATGTAATACACATATATGCTAAAATCCAAAGATTGAATTTAAAACCGTGTAGGAAAGACCAATATTGCTGTGACCTTTGCATCTTTGTAATGTGGTATTTTTTTTCTTAACTGCAATTGCAAAGGGAGAAGTAGAATTCTGGGTATGTTATGAAGCTTTGGGTTATACACCATTGTTGTTTTTAAACATTTTAGTTTTGTTTTGTTTTTTAACTGAAATTCTTTTTTTTTTTCCCCTTTTTTGGAGACAGGATTTCTCTGTGTAACAGTCCTGGCTGCCCTGATAAGGCTGGCCTTGAACTCACAGAGATCTTGCCTGTCTCTGTCCTGTCTGTTTTGCTCTTCAAGTATTTTTGATTCCTAGAAATAGAGTTAAGTAAATCCAACACAGACATATGCAATGTTGTATTTTATTTCCATCAATAGACAGGATTGTTCATTTTCCCTTTAATCAATTTGATGTAGAAATTGTGTATATGAACTAAAATATTTTGAAAATACAAGCAGTTATAAGAGATCTGTGTTGCTTTTTATATAACTGGCTTGAGATCAGTGAGTACCTTCATGACCCCATAGTATGTTGGTGGAAGCCTAGGTGAAAAATCATGCATTTATTTATATTTTCATGATTATAAATTTCATCGCTCACCAACACCCACACCTGCCCATCCACCCACCATTTACTTGACAAGAGGTTGTATTTTATTCTGGCACAGTGATTATAAAGACTTTCAGAGTTAAAGACTAGAAATTGTTTTTAAAATTCAGGGTAGGGAAAGAGTCCTATGAGATAAAACATTATCTCCCTTAGTTAGCAAATAGTGTTATACTGTTAGTATAGCCTTTAAACTGTATTTGGTGCCAGGTTTTCTGTGCTGGAGCCAGGTGCTCCAGACGTTAGCTTTTGTGTTTTCTGGGATGTTTACCTGCATATTCTGTGAGAAAATTTTTTTTGCAGCAGCTGGCCAAACTACTTTGTCATTTATCTTTGGACAAAATTTCTTCTGAAGAAATTTGTTTTGAAAGCGTGATCATTCACTTTTTTGGAGGTTACCAGTTGTGAATTCGTATTTTGTTAGGATTGTAGAGAAAATTTGTCTCTCAGAAACTAGTCACACAGGAACTAGTAAGTTAAAGGTTCTAAATAATTTAAATCTAAAGCTAGTCATATGGATAAAACGGTATACACTTTAAATCAGCTTAATCACTTTCTCACTGTGTTACTAAGACTGGCCTTGTTAAAAGGTAGCAGTTAAATTATTTCCAATTTTATGGACATATTTTTTCATTGGGTGCAACACAGTTAAAAGGCCACCCTTCCTTGCAGTCTTCTTAGTTTTCTTCCCATCTTCCTGGCAGATCTTTCTTCCCATGTTTCTCTGCCTTAATTGTCAGCCCAAATTGTTACAGTGCTCCAGTTCTTGGCCCTGGATCCCCTTTGCTTACCAGACTGACCTTGAACTCACTGAGACCCACCTGCCCTCTGCTTCTCAAGTGCTGGAATTAAAGGCATGCACCACCATTGCCCTGCAGGATCCTCTTCTCTTTATTATTTATACTTTCTTTTGGGGAATCCAATCTCTTTCCAGTGTACATGTGCAGATGACTTACTTTCAGCACCAGCCAACCCTGGAATTTCCTTAGTCACGTTTAAGATTGTGTACTGGACCTGTCTTGAATATAGTAGACAGTTCACACTTAACATGCTTAAAGCTATTGTTGATTTTGGCTCTCACTACTCAGTCTTCCTCTTCCATTATACTATTTTCATAATTGCCACCAATCATTGAGTCGTTCAAGGCAAAACCAGTAGTTATCCTTGGTTTCTTTTCCTTTCACTAATGTCCAATTCATTAGCAATATTCCACCAACTCAGCCTTCAAAAATATATTTCTAATCCTTAAAATCTCTTACTGCTTCTTAGTAGTTTAATTTAATTTACTCTTTGTGGTATTATTGCTGTAGTTTTCTTGGTTCTTAAGCCACTTCACTTAACAGTGAAAGCTATCTTTAAAATGCTAATCAGGTCACTTTCTTGTGCAAAACCCTACGGTGGTTCCACCCCCATGTCTAAAATAATATTCAAACTTCTTACTTCGACTGAATCCCACATGATTTGGCCCCTGCCTGCCTGCCTCTCTGACCTCATTTCCTAGCCTTTTGTCTCTTTCCTGTGTTATAGATCACATATTTTCTTTTTTTGTTCCTGAAAGTGCCAGATTTATTTCTAGTTTATGGTCCTTTCTGTTAACTAGAATGCTTCCTGCCTTTTGTTAATTCAACCCTAAAACAGTACTGTTTATGAACTAAAGACTTGAGGAAAAGACAATAAGACACAGGTCCATATTCTTAGGTGTTTTATGCTTTTTTATCTGGTGAGTTTCTTGAAATGGCAAAAGAAAGGGATAGTTGTGGAGATTTTTCAATTCTGCATGTGCAGTGTGTGTGTGTGTGTGAGAGAGAGAGACTGTGTTTTTGAAATTTTGCTTTCACTTATTAAATTACGAATACCTTAACTGCCTAAAGTTGTTTGAAGTACGTTGCACAGGCATAAACTTGTATCTTTCACAGGGAGTTTATCCTACTGTTGTGTTTTCTTCTCTGTACTCTTGCAGTTTTCACAGCCTACTGTTTATCTAATTTCCTCGTATGGTATGGCATATCATTTTTTTCCTACAGTCTACATGTCTTTTAAGTCTGAGTTCACAGAATTTGAAATGCATCATTGTATGAAAAGATTTTAACTAAAATGTTAAGCTGGGTTGTTGACTGACAACACAAAAGTTGTATGAAATTCATAGTACACCTTTCCAAAACATGTCTACTTATTTTGCGGCATTTCCTCTAAGACACGGTATAGTAATTGGCCTTAATTAAAAGATAGGAGGTCTTTTTATATTTCTAAGGGAAATGTAAAAACTACTAAAAATAGGAAAACATTATTTTGGCATGCATAAGAAAGAATGTCTTCAATTTATTTTCATCTCTTTTATTAATTTACTTTTAAGTCATTGAGTTACATGTAAGTAATTTTAACTTTTTTTCTATATTTTGCTGTGTTCAATGGATCTGCTACTCCTGCTTGAACTGAATGTGCCACTACGATTTGTGGAATTCCTCACATGCTGTCTTCTGTGAATTTGTTCTGCTGGAATCTGGAACACTGGAATGATGGACTTGTTTCCATTACAAAGTAGCTGTGAGTACACTACATAATTTATGCAAAACCTTGTTAATAGTCTAAATTTATCTTGTGATTAGATGAAATATGACCTTCAAGGAAGCATTTAACTTACAACATTGCTTTAGCTCCACTCATAATAGGCTTTCAGATACTTGGCTCTGAAATGCTGTATTATGGTCAGTTTGCAAATCATGTTCAAAATTAGCTTTTAATTTAATTGGCTGGCTTGACTTACAACATTAGGCTTAAAAATTAGTTAATTTTAATGGGAAGGATGTAAGTTGTGGTATAGCTATAAATGTGATATGTAGTAGGAGGAACGGGCTGCTTGTCGTCCCAGCTGGGCCCTTTGTTCCAGCTGGGCCCTTTGTTCCGTCCCGCTCAGCTAGCTTACACCCGAAATAACCACACAAAAACTGTATTCATTTAAACACTGCCTGGCCCATTATTTCTAGCCTCTTATTGGCTAACTCTCACATATTAGTTTAACCCATCTCCAGTAATGTGTATCGCCACTTGACTGTGGCCTACCTGCATGAGTCTAACCAGCATCTGTCTTGGGCAGGAGAATCATGGCGTCTGTTACACTGCCCTTCTTCCCAGAATTCTGTTCTGTCTTCTGCCTACCAGAGTTCTGCCCTACCAACTAGGCCAAGGCAGTTTCTTTAATACCAATGAAAGCAACACAAATACAGAAGGGCCCCTATACCAGTGATACCAGTGAAGAGTACAGACTCTGTTTAAACCTAGATGTGTTGGTGTAATACTCTTCTGCAACAAATTGTTTTATGACTAGGATTTAAATGTGTCAGTGTTAGAGACTTAGGAGACATATGTGCCTCTTGAGAGTATTTTGCCACAATATTTAAAGATGTCTATTTCTAAAGTAAAATTAAGCAGTAAATCAACTTACACACATGATGTAACTGAACAGTTGTTTTCACCAGTGGGTCAATTAAGAATCAGACTTACTTTACCCATGTAGAATTAAATTAAAAAAAATTACTCATGAAATGATTGTTTGGGTCATCGAAGAATCAGAACTCCATGTAGCTAACATAATTATGGTTTACTTTAAATCCTGGATACATTTCATTTCATGAAGATGGAGGCAGTAACATCATGGGTAACCTTGAAGTGACCCAAATGTGCCTGGGATTACAGCTTGAAAGACATGTACCTACTGACATTGATTTTGAAAATCTTCAAAATTTACAGAAAAGAGCTGGGTGGTGGTGGCGCACACCTTTAATTCTACCCCTTGAGAGGCAGAAGCAGGCAGATCGTGTGAGTTTGAGGCCAGCCTGGTTTACAAGAGTTAGTTCCAGGACAGGCTCCAAAGCTACACAGAGAAACCCTGTCTTGGAAAAACAAAAACACCAACAAAAAAAGATTTACAGAAAAGAATTGCTTTAACCACAAATTTTTTATTTTATGAGTCAAGATCAATTTCAAGAAGCTCGTGAGGGTGGAGATTAGTCAGTGTAAAGAAAGGTTCTTAGTGTACACTTAGGGGGTTGAATTTTTCCATAGTTGGAACTTGACATTTTGTTCCTTGTTACTAGATTATTGTCAAATGAAATCTTTGCTCCGAAACAAGTTTCATTAATTCTTTATTCTTGGGTTTTAATAATCATTTTATTTTCAATTCATGTTCAATTTATTCTGTACATTCTGCAATTAATGTTTTTATTGGTGACAATATAAACTTTGATTTGCTGTGAATAATAGTTTATAATTATAATTATGTAATTATAATTTAAAAAATAGTTTGTATAATTAAAAATTTTTTAGAAAAGAATGAGGGAATTTGAAATGTTTATTGGTACATGGTTCTTTTTACCTTTCTCAGCAACCGAAGAACCTTGAGGGCTATGTGGGATTTGCCAACCTCCCAAATCAAGTGTACAGAAAATCTGTGAAAAGAGGATTTGAATTCACACTTATGGTAGTAGGTGAGATAATTTCTTACTAATCTGAGTTTTGGTCTTTATCTACTTTGGATGAATTTAAGAAATAATATCTCAAATAACTCTAGTGAATGTATGTCGTATTTTATCTTATGTAGAAATGTTGAAAATTTAGCTTAGTTGCATAATAGAATTTGTATCTCCTCTTTCTCCTTCCTTTTCCCCCAACACCTTTGGTAGAAACTGAAAATTGAGAAATGATGGGCGGTTGTGATGGATTAGAACAACCAAGTGATAATGCTAAGAAAGGAAGGCATCAAATAGCTACTTACTATTGCAGTGTATGTTTGTTCTCTGGCTAATCACCTTCAGTGAAGTTGTGTCACATGAGCGTTTAAGTTAAATGAGTATTCGCTTTAAGTTTTGCAAAGAAAAGTAGAATAAAAGGTAATAATTCAAACGATTGCCTTTAAAATTGCAATAGTGTATGCATGTTTCAGGGAAATGTGATTCTCCTTGTTTTCTTTGTTTAATTTTATTTATATTTTATGTATGAGTGCTCTGCATGTATGCCTTCATACCAGAAGAGGGCATCAGATCTTATTATAGATGGTTTTGAGCCACCATGTGGGTGCTGGGAATTAAACTCAGCACCTCTGGAAGAGCAGCCAGTGCTCTTCACTGCTGAACCTTATCTCTAGTCTTCTCCTTGTTTTCTAATTCATCTGTGAATACTTTGCTCTGCTCTATAATCCATTTGAAGATATTGTTATGGGTTATTTTGCATATAGGTTGGTTAATGGCGTTATTGTGTATAAAGAAACAGCCTGTACTTTTATGACCTGGGTAAGATTACTAATTTCAGTGACAGTCTTAAGTGATGATTTTCATTGGCTACATAGGCTGACTTTAGACATTAGTAAAATCAGGAGTGTAAATAAATTTTACTATATTTTCCTATTACTTGTTTTAAGAAGGTGAAAGCAGGATAGCGAATGAACTATTTTTGACAAAATTGAGTCCATATTCAACTTAGTGTATATTGTTTTGCTAATCATGTTTTACAACAGTTTTTAATTTGCTATCAAGTTACTAAATTGACTGTGAAGAACTCTTTACTGAGGGGAACAGTGTTTTTTCTGTGTTTATTACCACAATGTTTTTCCTATTGTTTAATTCTTTTTTATTTTGGAGGTTGGATTCATTATTATAACAGTTCATGTAGCACTATAGTTTGCTTGTTTGTTTTTTGAGCATAACAGTTTTTTACTCAATAATGTTGGTGTAGTGGTTTGAGTGAAAATGTCTCTCATAGGCTTATATATCTGAATATTTGGTTCCAGGTTGGTAATATGGTACTGTTTGGGAAGGTTTAGGAGGTGTGGTCTTACTGGAGGAAGAAGTTGCTGGGGGCAGACTTTGAGAGTTTAAAGCTTCACGATATTCACAATTTGCTCTGTATGCTATGAAGCTTGTGGTTAAGGATGTGAACTCTCAGTTTCCTGCTGCAGCTGTCATGCCTCCCTGCCATGATGGATCCTTAGGCCTCTGGAACTGAAAGCCTTTCCTTCTGAAAGTTGCCTTAGTCGTTGTGTTTTATTATAGCAAGATCAAAATAACTAATACAGTTTAGTTAACTTGATTGATTCTGGTTGGGTAGAAGTATTGTACATGCAGCTCTGGAGCATTGGTAAGACTAGACAGATGGATTGAGTCTACCTTTTCTTCTGTAGGTTGACAACTTGATAATTAATATGATGAAACACTACATCTTTTGTTTGAGATGTCACTAATTTTAAAAAGCTTTTATATTAGAATTTTGGTTTAATAAATAGCTTTTGAACGTGTGTTTAGTAGAATAATATCTGTGGTTATTGGAATGAGATATCCCTTACAGTCTCAGGTGTTTGATCTCCACTTTATGGTACTGTTTGGGGGAAGTTTAGGAAGTGTAGCTCCCTGAGGAACTATGTCACTGGAGGCAGGCTTTGAGAGCTTAAGGTTGCTTCTCTGCTTCGTATCTATGGTTCAAAATGTGGGCTCTCAGCTTACTGTCCAGCTGTGCCTGCTGCCATGATTTCCCCTTTTATCATAAACTCTAACCTTCTTTAACCAGAGCCCAAATAAACTCTTCCTTAAGTTACCTTGGTCATGGTTTTTTATCATAGCAACAGAGAAGTGACTGGTACACTCAGCTTGCTTTTGTTTTTTAAAATAAACACCCGTCCAGAGGTGGCACTGCCCACAATGGGTTGGGCACTTCCATACCATCTGTTAATCAAGAAAGTGCCCCACAGACTTGATGGCAGCCTTTTCTCAATTGAGGTTTTCTCCTCTCAGATGACCTCCCCCTAAAATGAATAAAACAAAAACACTAAACAGTACAAAATCTGATGGTGAGGGCCATATGGTTGATATAAAATTTGTGTTATTTTTCTAATTTGGGGTGGGTAGGTTGTTGGGTGGGTGAGGAGGCTAAAGTCATTTGATACTGATTTTTGTTTTTTAGAGGAAATATGCATTCTCTTGATGCATCTTATTTATGAGCTTTTCCGATGAATCCTTTAATGAAATTCACTCTGTTTGGTTTTCTTGTTATAGGGTCTCAAGTATCTGGTCATGGATTCTGTAGTAATAAGGGGCGGCGGGGCTGCGTCCCCAGCACCCCAGCTGCCTGCTAGCTTATGCCCCGAAATAACACACAAATTGTATTCATTTAAACACTGCTTGGCCCATTTCTATCTTGCCTCTTCTAGGCTAATTCTCACATATTAATTTAGCCCATTTCTAATCATCTGTGTAGCACCCCTAGGTGCGCTTACTGGGAAGATTCTAGCCTATGTCCATCCTGGGTCGGAGCTTCATCGCGTACATCTGCCTGGGAGCTGGGAGCATGGCGTCTCTCTGAGGCCTCTGCTCCCGAGAGGAGAGCTGTGGAGTCTGAGCTCACTTCTTCTTCCTCCCAGCGTTTGGTTCTGTTTACTCCTCCCACCTATCTTCTAACCAATGAGGGCCAAGCAGTTTCTTTTTATTTAACCAATGACCTTCCTCCATCACTTTTCTAGTTTGTTCTCTATTGCTTTCTATAAACATTGTGGTCAAAAAACAAAAACCAAACTTGGGGAGCAAAGGGTTTATTTTTATTTTTGCTTTCAGCTTATAGCCCATCATGAAAGGAAGTCAGGTAAGGAGCTGAAGTAGAGGCCAGGAAGAATTACTACTTAATAGATTGCTTCTTGAGACTTGTTTTAGATTGCTTTTTTCTACAATTCAAGTCCATCTGCTCGGGTTGGTATCACCCACAGTAGGCTGTGTCCTATATCAATTATTAATGAAGAAACTGCTCCACAGACTTGCCTATAGGACAGTCTGATGGAGACCTTTTCGAAATTAAAATTCCTTTTTCTTCCCCAATGACTTTAACTTGTGACAAGTCGGCAAAAAACGAATCGAACAGGACAGTAACAGAGTTTGGTCTTGAGCTCATTCTCCTAATTAAGCCTGTTGAATCCTTGGGTTAGAAGTAGTGCACCTGTGCCCAGCTGGAATACTGTTTTTGTTTTTCTTTTTCATAAGGTTTCTCACTTATATGTCCAGAGCCATATCTCTTTTTTGATTTCAGATCCAATCAAATTGACATTTACGGTTAACAGTCACACTGCATTTTCATCATTTATGTTTCAGGCATTTGTTTATTATGTATGTTAAGTCATTATCCTATAGTAACCATTGCAACTCATTTCAGATATGAAATTAAGGCATTAGATTAGCTTACTTGCTCATAGTTGCAAATCCAGTTTTTTCTGTAATTAATATCCATGAAGAGGCTCATATGAGAAAAAGGAGTATATATTAATGCTCAATTGAATACACTGAAGCCAGTATAGCTGGAGTATTCTTTTTTGCAAATCTTTCTTTAAAAATTAATTAAAAACCATTATTAGGCTGAGTGTGATGATATACTTGGGATACAGAGACAAGAAGATTTCTAAGTTTGAAACCAGCCCAGACTACACAGTGAGACACTGTCTCAAATAAAAAGAACATAAGCAGAATACCACCACCATCAAGAATCAATGCCAGGTTTGTCACATAATAAAGCAGTGCAGGACAAGTGACTGGACATGAGGGCTTTCACTAAACTGAGTTCTACACCTCACTAAATCATATTTAGTAGTAAATCTCATATCTGGTGAAAAAAGGAAGTCCTAAAAATATATCCTATATAAAGCACATACTAGATAAAGCTATGAATTACATGTCAGTCTTAAGCCTGTGGTTTTTTGAGACAGGATTTTTCTGTGTAGCAGCCCTTGCTGTCTTGGAACTTGCTTTATAGACCAGGCTGGCCTCAACTACTATAGGCATGCACCACCATGCCTGGCTTAAGCCTGTTTTTATTAATACATTTTCGTGACTTAATTTTAAGATCCAGAACTGAGGAAGGACGCTTAAAAGAAATCCCACACTAGCTCAGAATTGAGAAATAGATGGTTATTTATTTAGAGGTAGACAAACAAATCAGAATCCTCTGCTTGAATGGTGATCAGAAACTGAACATGTAGAGCTGTATCTTATTGTTTTCATTTGTACTTCCTTAATATGAAATAGTTTGCTTTATCATATACTTTATTTGCCACTTGTATGTCTTATTTGTATCTGGTAAAGTATTTAGTCCATTTTAAATCACTTTTCCCCCATTCAGTTTTAAAATGTCCTTATATATTTTTTTTGATAATAGTGTTTTATCAGGTAGGTATGTATACACATGTTATTTATTTTGTGTGTGTGTGTGTGTGTTTATGTGTGTGCACATGTTTGTGTGTGTTTTTCTTTTTCATTTCTTTTTACAGAGCTTAAGTGCTAGATTTGAATACAGTCTAGTTTATCAGTGATTCTTTTCGTGAGCCCTACCTTTAGTGTTCTAAGAAGTCATTGCTATGTCAAGGTCATCTAGGTTTACTCTTACATCATATTATCTACCATGAGGTTTGTAGTTTTGCATTTTAAAATAGGGCTATTGTCTATTTGGGGATAATGTTTTT